AGCTCCTCTAGCAATTCTAGCATTCCAACATTCCAACAACATCTGTCGAGTACTCTTTTCAGAAACAAACAACTGAAAAGAGTACTCTACAAAAACCAACATGTTCGTACAGCAAACAGATGGGTCATAGGAATCAGGTACGAGGAGGAATTTATTTTTGTAGAAACCGTAAGTTAGATTCCCAAATAGAATAATTTTTGTGTTTATTTTGGCTAGTGATTAGCTATGTTATTTTATAAAAGGTACCGGTGTAGCCAAAATAATCATGTCCTGTTTTAATAATAATGAAAAATGGTCTTGTTATGTTGTTAGTTTCTAAATAGAGAGGGAGAGTATTGAATTTTAGTATTTTATTCCTAATTAGTGTCGTATTTACTCACTTTTTACTAAACACCGACAACTGGACCTTTTTACCAAACTATGTTTCGATCTTTTATTTAGAGAGTATTTGTTCCAATAATAATTTAAAAACCTGTCTTGTTATTTTGTCAGTTCCTAAAATAGAAGAGGAATATCTAATTTTAGCTTTTTACTGCTAATTGCTGTGCTATTTACTCAGTTTTTACTAAACAGCGACAACTGGACCTTTTTACTAAACTGTGTATCAATCTTTTATTTCGATCTTAATTGTTTATTTTTGGATGTTACAAGTATAATTATAGGTTAATTTTATAAAGAGTATCTCAATCTATTATAATAAATTAAAATCTATGTACCTAATAAGCAAGTAAAAGTGTTTTTATTTTTCACTCAAACTTTAAACATTCTTTTTCTCAAAACAAGCTTTTTCAGAATTTCATCTTCAAAATGTCTGGTAAAAAAATATGTGCCAGTTTTTGAATATTTTTTCATTCCTACTGTCAATTGACTATTCTAGATACCGAATTTAGTCTTAATACCCGACTACTGGACCCTTTTCGCTTGGAGGCCCACATATATATTAGTTTATCATTAAGCTTGTAGTTATAATTAATATTTTTGTTATGTTCCAAAATTTCCGGCCTATTGCATGACTCTAATTTGGATTTGTGATGTTGCCGTGTAGTGGCGGTTGAGAATATCCACTACCCCATATCTTCCCGTGGGTGTCGTAAAAGGCGACTGAGGGAAACAGAAAGGAGATGGGCAGCAGCATCTTCCTAATAACACCAATAACAAATAATAAAAAACTGCGGTTGCCAACCCGCTCGCCAAGCGTGGCAACTATGGCAAATATCCCCCCCATGAGCAACGACACAAATAAACGGCCCCCAGTCCCCGGCGGCCCCGCTATTCCTGGCTACGGTGGCGACCATGGTAACGGCGGGGCAGGGGGTGCTAAGAATCTCCGGTGGAGGTTCGGTTGCCACCTACGACGACTCGACCTGGCAACGTATAACGCACGCACCCTGAGGACTGACGAGAAGATACTGGAGCTGGAAGAAGAGGTAGACAAGTTGCGCTGGCATATTATTGGATTATCTGAGGTCCGAAGAGAGGGGGAGGACACGGTAATCCTCGAGTCCGGCAACTTGTTCTATCATCGGGAGGGCGACCATCTGTCCCAAGGAGGTGTCGGATTTATCGTCCACAAGTCTCTCGTCAACAACGTTGTAAAGATTGGGAGTGTGTCGACGAGGGTCGCGTACCCGATACTCAGAATCACCAAACGGTATTCGCTGAAGGTCATACAGGTCTACGCACCAACCTCGGCACATCCCGATGAGGAGGCGGAGGAAATGTATGAGGATATTTCTAGAGCCATGCATTCCTCCAAAACCCACTACACGGTGTTGATGGGAGACTTCAACGCAAAACTAGGCACAAGAGAAGGCGGTGAGCTGAAGTTAGGGAAATTTGGAGTAGGGCAACGGAACCGTAGGGGCCAGCAGCTGGCTGACTTTATGGAGAAAGAGGGACTCTTTATGATGAACTCTTTCTTCCAGAAGCGGCCCCACAGGAAGTGGACCTGGTCGAGCCCCGACGGTTCGACAAAAAATGAGATTGACTTCATTATGACGACCAGACGCCAACTGTTCAGTGATGTCTCAGTGATCGCAAGGGTGAAAACCGGCAGCGATCACCGAATGGTTAGAGGCACACTGAACCTAAACGTTAAGTTGGAGAGGTCTCGTCTAATGAAGTCAACGCTCCGTCCTCCTCGTGCTTTAATCCAGAATACCGAGACTTTGCAGCTCGAGTTACGTAACCGCTTTCAGTGCCTAGAAGATTGCAATGCAGTGGACGATATGAATGACAAGCACAAATTATCAAGTGGAAACTGTCCATGCGGTCGGAGCTAAGTTCTTCAAGACCCGCCGCAGAAGAACACAAAAACTCTCCGATCACACTCTTAATCTCATGGCTGTTAGACGGGAGATGAGGCTGCAATCGTCAACAGATTTGACAGCATACAGGCATCTGAACAGACAGATCTCCAAATGCATGCGGCGAGACTTACGTAACTTTAATACTGCTTGTATTAAAGAAGCGATTGAGCGGAACCAGGGCTCCAAAGTCTTTGCCAGAGATCTGTCTGCCAGAAAGATCCAACTGTCAAAGCTGAAGACTGAGTGTGGCAGCATCGTTTCTGGGACACCTGAGATTTTGAGTGAGATTGAGAGGTTCTATGGGCAGCTGTACACATCATCGTTGGAGCCACACGCAAGTGTGAGTAACGATCCAAGAGCAAGTCTTACCCGACACTATTCCGATGATATCCCGGACGTCAGTCTGAGCGAGATTAGAATGGCTCTCCAGCACCTTAAAAACGGCAGGGCCCCATGCGAGGATGGAATTACAGCGGAGCTTCTGAAAGCGGGTGGAACACCGGTACTTGAAGTCCTTCAGAAACTCTTCAATTCCGTCCTCCATGGTGGCACTACTCCGGAGGCGTGGAGCAGAAGTGCGGTGGTCTTGTTCTTTAAGAAAGGCGACAACGCTCTCTTGAAGAACTACAGACCGATTTCCCTTCTGAGCCGCGTCTACGTGCTGTTTTCGAGAGTCATTACGAATCGTCTCGCACGCAGACTCGACGACGTCCAGCCTCCCGAACAAGCCGGTTTCCGAAAAGGCTTCAGTACCATAGACCTCATACATACCCTGCGGCAGATTGTACAGAAGACCGAAGAGTACAATCTGCCACTTTGCCTGGCGTATGTGGACTATGAGAAAGCCTTTGATTCCGTCGAAATTTGGGCGGTGCTACAGTCCCTTCAGCGGTGCCAAGTTGACTGTCGGTATATCGAAGTGCTGAATTGTTTGTACAGTAGGGCTACGATGGCTATCCGAGTACAGAACCAGAGTTCGAAACCTATCCAACTGCAGAGAGGTGTAAGACAGGGTGACGTTATATCCCCGAAAATCTTCACCGCTGTGTTGGAAGACGTTTTCAAGTTACTGGACTGGAAAGGATACGGTATTAACATCAATGGCGAGTACATCACTCACCTTCGATTTGCCGACGATATAGTCCTTATGGCAGAATCGCTGGAGGACCTTAGCACTATGCTCAATGACCTCAATAGTGTCTCCCAACGGTTAGGTCTTAAGATGAACATGGACAAAACAAAGATCATGTTTAATGTCCATGTCACACCTATGCCGGTAGTTGTTGGGAGCACTATGCTCGAAGTTGTTGACGAGTACGTTTACCTGGGACAAATAGTCCGACTAGGTAAGTCCAACTTCGACCGAGAGGTCGAAGCTACCATCGGAGAGACGGATTCAACTCGGCTGGGCAGCGTTCGGGAAATTACGACACATCTTCTCGTCAGGTATACCTCAATCTCTGAAAACTAAAGTGTACAACCAGTGCGTGTTGCCAGTGATGACTTACGGATCTGAGACGTGGTCCTTCACTGCTGGCCGTATGAGGACGCTCAAGGTCGCTCAGCGAGCTATGGAGAGAGCTATGCTCGGAGTTTCTCTGCGTGATAGACTCAGAAATGAGGATATCCGCAGTAAAACCAGAGTGACCGACATATCCCAACGGATTAGTAAGCTGAAGTGGCAATGGGCCGGCCATATAGCTCGAAGAACCGATAACCGATGGGGAAGAAAGGTTCTCGAGTGGCTGCCTCGTACCGGTAGGCGTAGTGTAGGGCGACCCCCCACCAGATGGAGTGACGACCTGGTAAGACATGCAGGAAGTCGATGGATGCAGGTGGCTCAGGACCGTGCTTTGTGGCGTTACTTGGGGGAGGCCTATGTTCAGCAGTGGACTTGTGAAGGGCTGTAATGATGATGATGAATTTGGATTTAAAGTTTTGCATATTATTGACATTAAATTTTCTTTTTTCTTTATACCATATATTTTGTTTGTTTTCCTTATTTATTTCTATATCCATAACTGTGCTCATGTGATCGGAAAGTCCGAATTCTTCTACACTACTTTTACGTTACGTACTTTTAGCTTTAGATTGCACAAATTTGTAAATATTAAATCTAAGCATGATGATATTTTTAGTTACATGAGTAGGATTTGTTATATGTTGATTAAATTGAAGTTCTAGCATTAGATTTAAAAATGTAAAAAGCAAGCACATCTGGAATTTTGTTTTTTAAGTACGCTATGAGGCCTTTTTGATAACCCGTCATATCTGGAGCACCATCTGTAGCTGCTGATATAATATTCTTCAAGGGAATTCCTTTTTCATCATAAAACTTTTCCAGTGTTTTAAACATGGTTTCTCCTTTTGTGTCTGTCTCTAAATTTCTAGCAAATAATAGTTCTTGACATATTTTTTTATCTTTAATAAACCTCACGTTTAAGACAGCAACAATGCTTCATTAGTTGGTGAAGTGGACTCATCCAACTGAATTGAAAATTGACTAGTCTTCAGATGATTGCACAATGACTCTTTAATGTTTTCAGCTATTTCATTAATTCGTATTTGCACAGAACTATTGCTCAAAGGAATTTTCAAATTATGTCTACCGCCGGGTTATAGAGCACAAATTCACGTTTTTCCGATGGTGTGTGGTTTACCTGTTTGAGCATTTAACAAAGAAATATTGTATTAAGCTCGAAGTCCGTCATCGTCTTGCTTAGCAGCCACCGAAAAAAGTTTTGATACACTTGGCTGAGCATTACGATTCTTTTCCAGGTCTTGAAAATAATCTACATTTTTCTCCTTATCTGGATGCATTTTACTCAAATGATCTTAAAGTCTTAAATGCTTCATCGCTTCTTTTAGAATTTCGTTAAATTTAATAATGACAAATTAAATTTTTGGGTAGCTATTTATGGTGACAACATTATCGGACCCGTATTCATTGATGGTGCTTTGAACGGAGAGAGGTTTGTTAATCTACTAAGGGCCGATTTCACCAAACTCAGATAAGTTTTATTCCAAGAGTAATGATATAAGTTATTCTAGGATATCAAATTTTACATTTCACCAACAATTTAACCCAAGAATAAATAGTTAACCAAGAGATAAGATTTATACTCCCGATTTTAAAGGATTACGGAGTTATTCTTCGGTTAAAAATGGCCGACAGGCTGTCAGCTGTTAATTACTTGACATTTTTAATAGTCTGTCGGGTACGTCCAAGTTTTTTGTTCCTGAATTGCTGTTTGATTAATACATTTTTAGTTTAATTATTATTGAGAGTATATAGCTATACATAATGCAACGTTTGAGAAGAATGATTAACAACAGTGACAGTGATGTTAGTGAAGATGAAACATATTATGTTGTAAAACGTCCAAGGTGGATAAAAGAAAGGAATAATTATTTTTATGACTATGATGACGAAGACTTTAGGATAAGATTTCGGTTATCTAAATCAGCAGCTCATAATCTTTTGATCAAAATTGAAGATCATTTGGAATTTATATCTGAGAGGTGAGTCTTTGTACCTATTTATACTGTATATGTAATATGTAATACGGCAATGAATTGCTCTAAAATAAAACTGTTTTGGTTTACAGGAATCAATCAATTTCTCCGATTAATCAGCTTTTGGCAACACTAAGGTTTTATGCTACGAATAATTCACAATTAACGATCGGTGATTTTAGTGGGCTCAGCACACCTACAGCACACAGAATAATACATAGAGTTAGTGCTGCGATAGCGTCATTGAACCATGAGTACATAAAATTTCCGAATACTCAACAGGAAATTCGGCGAAATCAAAGGGAGTTTTATGGTATAGCAAGAGTCCCTAGTTATAGGGGCAATGGACTGCACACATGTCAGAATTTCTTCACCCGGCGGGGATCAGGCAGAACTGTTTAGAAACCGAAAAGGCTATTTTTCTATTAATGTCCAGACTATATGTAATGCAAATTTGGAAATTATTGATATTGTCGCAAGATGGCCTGGGTCAGCACATGACAGTACTATATTTAATAATTGCTGCCGTAAAGCAAAATTTGAAGCTGGTGATTATGGTGAAGGAATTCTACTTGTAGATGGTGGATATGCTGCTACATCCTATTCTATGCCTCCACTAGAGAATCCTGGAACAGCAGTAGAGCAACTGTACAACGAGTCACAGATTAGGACAAGAAATACTGTTGAAAGGTCTTATGGGGTTTGGAAACGAAGATTTCCAGTACTAGCTTTGGGACTACGAGTTAAATTAGACAAGGCTTTGGTTATAATTATGGCAACGGCTGTGCTGCATAACATATTGCGTCAACGAGGAGAAACAGTTCCACCTGATGATCCAGATTTGGTCCTTCCAGCACCTTAGAGGCGCTCTTACAAAATGGACAAATAAGGTCTGAACAATCAAGTACTCCTCAGCGAAATAGAGCCAGAGAACTCCTAATAAACAATCACTTTAGGAATCTTATATAGTTTATTGTGAGAAAAGTTAAATAATGAAACCATGTTTTTTTTATTAAGTCATAGTTTTAATTTTTTTTTGTTTTCTCCACCTTAATTGTGATATTAATATATTAGTTTTAATTTTCTCCTGTTTTAATACTTCATTTTTTATTTTAATGTCTATCTCAAACATTTTTCTTGCTTCTTCCCTCTCTTCAGCAGCAAAATTCATCTGCATTTCGGTAGCTTTTATTTTTATTTTTTGGTATTCTTCTAACGATGAAGATGGTAGAGCCGGTCTGCGCTTGGAACTCCAACTCTTACTTTGAGTAGGAGAAGTCCCTACATCCTCTTCTCTCTTACTCACTGCCCGTAGAGGTGCAGATTTTGGAGTTTGCAGCAGTTTTGGAGTGTAGTCTCCCCAATCCTTCAAAATAAAAATAATTTTGTAATGTTTTCACAAAATTACTAACATAATAGACTTTTAATGGGTTAAGTACCTAAACAAAAAATTCAGAAGAAATACTTTAGAATACTATTTTAATATTAATTTTTAGGTTACATACATCTGTTTCTGCTTGTGGTTTATCATCATTTTGTCCGCTTGTATCTATATCCATTGACAGAGGCATGGACATGGAATATATAGGAGCAGCAACAAATATGTCTGTTACATCTGGAACTGGAAAAAAAAACACATTATTGATAAAATAACATTGTTTATTAAATAAAATTTAGAGATATCACTTAAGTGATGCTGTTAAGTCAAAGACAGTCAAAAACTGTGTAATAATAATAATAATATTTCTTTATTTGACACTTATAATTTCATATATCATAGAGCCCTGACTCCCAAACTAGGATACCCTGTATTTCAGGAGTCAGTTCCTTCCCATTCAATAACTCTGTGTCAAAAGTACATTAGAGAAACGTTGACATTTAAATATATGTCAACATTTCTCTAATGTACTTTTGACACAAAGAATGGGAAGGAACTGACTTCTACTCCTACTCAGTTAACACTATATACATGCGTAAGTAGCGTGTTTGTTGCACTGCACATATAGTTATTCATATGGAGCTATTAAATTTTCGAATTTAACATAGTCACATTCTTTAAGTCAGTTATATTCATTCTTTTAAAAAAGTTATATACATTCTTTTAAATGTATGATTTGAAGCCTTTTTTGTGCACACTGTTTTATTTAGTATATTGTATAACTTGGGAGCTATGTAATTATAATTCCTTTTGCAGAATATGGATTTAACTTTGGGGATACTTATACGTACAGTTCTTTTTGAATTTTGTATTTGCAGAACACTACATCTATGAAAGCGTCTAAGACATTGATATATAAATAATTTACGAACACTAATTTAGTTAACTTATATACCACATCTGTCAAATATCTATAAGGAAGCAATAGCTTTTAGTACAGCCCTTTGAGCTCGCTCTAATTCTATGTGTTTTAGCAGCGCATCCCCAAGAACATACAATAACTGATAACGCTCTGGCACAAAGCTTTCTATGTTTGTATTAATAGATTTGTGTTTGCAACTGTTTTTAAATTCTTAAAGATATAGATAAACTTTCTGATTTTGTTAGAAATAAAAGAAATATGTGGAGCCCAATTAAGCTTATCATCAACAATTATACCAAAATATCGAATTGAGTGTACCTTTAGTGGAAGCCAATGTGTTGCTAGGAATCTCTTCATTGATAAAATGATTATTACTCATGTTATCACTGTCATATTCATTTACCAGTCCAACTACCGTCGTAGATATCAAAGCAAAGATTTTTCTGTATAGCGGGTTGTCCTCAAGCTTAGGCTTTGAGGGTCCGCCACCTGAACAAAATATTAAACATTAAAGATAAAAAACACAAAGTAATGTCAAGGATGTCACAAAAATTCCATAGGTGTTAACATGGTATCAATAATTACAGCTTTAGATTCGTAAGTAGCACGTAGAAATGAAGATTATTACCTGTTTGAAACAAGCTTTGCCTTTCAGCAGACGATTCTTTTTTGGTGGATTTTTTCAGACTTTCCCACTGTGCTTTTACGTTTTCTGCAGTCCTATATCCAAAAGTGGTTTGGGAATTAAATTCTTCCGATATTTTTACCCACTCCGCATTTTTCTGTTTCATAGTAACAGCATCGGTACGCTTATTTTCTACTACACTGAAATGTTCAGCCACTAAATCCACAAGCAACATCTTTTCCGACATTTGCCAGTGAGGACTGCGTTTTCTGTCCGACATTATTAATTAAAATTGATATTGAAATAACAAAAAAAGCGAGGAAAAATACAACGTGTATCAACAGTTGATGAAAACGAATTTGCTTCAAACTGACGTATAACCCTGCTAAATTAAAAAGTTTGTTTTGTACCTCGTCGAGAAGGAAAGCAATGACATACTTAATTTGTTTTCTTTATACAATCAATCACTTGCTCATTCAAATAGTCTTCCACAGATAAGTAAAACCGTTATTCGAAAGAATAGTTAATCTGAGGCTAACTAATCTGTTGTTTTGCATGGTGAAATGTACTGTAAGTTATCTGAGAGTAAAAGTACGGAATATCTTTATTCTCGGGTTAGTTAATCTTAGACAACGACGTCGTTGGTGAAATCGGCACTAAATGATACGGGATCGGAATACACAAACAACCTAAACATCTAACGACACCAATAAATGTGGTACCAAATAGATGGTGCGCCAGCACACTCTCTTATCGGGATGTTAACAGTCTTTAAGTACAGGTTGCTCTAAGATGCTATTTTCTAAGTTTTTAAATAAATCCGTGAATAATAACGTTTAATATAAATATTATTTCTTCGTGAAACGAAAATGTGAAAACGTATATGTGTGTTAAATTAAAGTTACCATAGTAGCGGTACGTTGTATAAGAAGTCATTATTGTAAATAAAATTTGTGTCAAGGCTAATAATAAAAATATTTAATCTATTGATATAATTACCAATAGACATTACCTCCCACAAGTTCAAGGTTGGTACAGCAGTATCGGCTAACCTGCTTTTAATGATAGCTTGGGGTATGAAATACGATTTATCAAAATGTTCTGAGCAAATGGTGCTACTCCGTTTAGGTATCCAAAATTCATGATTTCTGCAAGCTGCAATCCAAGTCTGCTACCTAAGAGAATCTATAATCTATAAATATGTGAAATCAAACCAATAATAGAAAAATGTACTGCTTTTTATAATACTTTATTAAAAAATATCAACAAAAAGTATAAACCTGTTCGACAGACAAACCCGAATGTTTGAAATGAATGGAAATTAACTATCGATAGCTGAAATTAACTTTAGAAAGATATTTTATAAAATTTGCATTCATTTGCTACGAAGTGGCAAGTTTCGATTCGACTTATTTGGCCTTTATTTTGTATAATATTTTGATAAATACTAGTTATCAATTATATTACATTATAATATATTCAGAATCGTGTTGATTGAGCTAAATATTTCAATAATTTGACAGAATCCACAACACATCTTAATGTAATGATTATTATTCATCATAAACTGATTTAGTTAATAGGAAAAAAATCGTTAATATATTTATTTTGTGTAGTAAATTATATTTATTTAAAAATAGCTTATTTTTCACTTCATGAACTATAATGGCAACACTTGGTATTATACGAAAATATTCAGAAAATACGAGTCCTAAAAATAATATTATGTTAAAAATACTCACAGAAGAAAAGTCATGTTGTCCTTTTGTAGATTTGATGGATTTGAGTGTTTTTTTTTTCATGAAAATACACTGCGATTCGGCAGCTCGGGAGCTCAATTGACTGGCCCGATGCCAGTCAAGCTCCTGCCTGCACTTGCGGAATAGGGCACGACTGGGAGCAGCTAGTTTTATATAACGGGTATGAGTTGAACTCTCATACCTTTGACAGAGGGGTATGTCGCCTCCTTTGGCTTAGTACTCAAAGATTATCAGATTATCACAGTTACAGTATTTTTAAATAACTTAGCTATCATAAAATTATAAATAACAAATTATTTTTGTTGTTTCTCTTTGTGACTTTCTTCATTTATTAGCCATGGTTTGGTCGCTCCTGTGAAATAGCATCACGCTATAAGCAGGAGTGCTATTGGGACTGGACTGACGCATTAACGTCTCGGGATGTAAACGCCAGCGCTCTTAAAAATAAGTATAATTCCGTCTCCAGGTCCTTCCAAAAAGTCATTGCCAAGGCAAGGTGAGCACATCGACAGAATTGGTGAGAAGCTAGTTCGCCTTCATTCTAGTCTCTCGCCAAGGCTCTCCAGGGGAACTTCTGTCAGTCATCTCTCCCATCTCTGTACAGAGAGGACGACTCACTGGCTCATGCCGCAAAGGAGGAAGCGGATCTGTTAGGCTCTCTCTTTGCGTCCAACTCGACTCACGATGACGGGGGGAACACACCGCCAACCATCACGCGGTGTGAGTGATCCATGCCGAATGTGCGGTTTACACAGCACTCGGTTCGCAAAGCACTGTTTTCCCTGGACGGCGTTCTATCACCAACGCTGTTTCTTCTGCATATCAATGATATGTTGCAAACTGATACCATTCATTGCTATGCAGACGACAGCACTGGTGATGCCTTATACACCGGCCGTGCCAATATTTCTTGGAAATCGCCGAGTACCGCGACAAACTTGTGTCTGAAGTCAAGTCTTTGCTTAACAAAGTCTCGGATTGGGGACGACTAAAACTAAGTTAGTATTTTCAGCAAAAAACCATACTCCAAAAAAAAAACTAAAACTGACAGGACTGTCGGGAAGTCTCCTTCTCACGATGGTCTCAGCATTGAGCACCTACGATTCATCAGGCCTCACCTATCGAGAGTATTAGCCACGTTCTACACACCATGTATAGGACTACGAATGTCCTGTCCCCTGAAATGCCCAAAACTGTGGTGATGTCAGTTGTGAAAAATAAAATTGGTGATTTAAGTGAAGATTTAGGCGTTATAGCGAAGTATAGCCGCGACGCGAGAGCGTGCCCGACTGAATGCGAGTCCGACAATTACCTGCCTTTCGTATTGCCATTCTAGAGCGAGTATGACGTATCGATAACTTTAAAAAACATCTTAGAATACAGGGAATTTTTCAGACATCATTCTGAAAGAACATTCGACGGTTTTTATATCTCGACTCGACAGATGTCGACGGTGCCATCCAGTACTCTTATTAGTTTGTAGTGCCATCCCTTAGGATGTATCTCCGATAATTGTTGGTCTTAATAACCCGATCCTGTATCGCACAGACAAACCCTCGGTTTCACCAAACAGCTCACCAAAACGTAGCCAGTGGAGGGAGGAAACTGTGTCTACGAAAGGTTCCGACGATCAAGCAACTTTAATTACAAATTCTATCATTCTATTGTTCTAATGGCATGCAGCGATGCTGATGGATTGTTTACTTTCATAGAAACTAGGTATACTGGAAGAAATGGTGATGGTGGAATTTTTCGGGTATCTTCCATTAAAAATTTAATCGGAAATAACGCCCTTAACTTACCTTTACCATCAAAACTACCAAATGATGAAAACGAAAACTTTTTCCCGCATTACTTTGTTGGTGATGAAGCGTTTCCATTAATAAGATATTTGATGAGACCGTATCCACAGCAAATATTAAATAGTGTGAGAAGAATTTTCAACAAAAGTTGAAGTATGCGGGTTAAGAATGGGTGAGTTAACCATCAAATGCCTTTTGTACGCCGAAGATCAAGTCATACTTGCGTCGTCGGCGGCCGAGTTGCAAATGATGGTTACATTACATTTTTTGAACATTACATGAACAGGTCATTAAAAGAAAGGGGAATGAAAGTGAACGCAAGTAAGACGAAAGTGATGGTTTTTGAAAGAGATGAAAGCAAAACGGTATGTGAAATAAGAATAGAAGGAAAGTTAATTGAGTAAGTGGATGAATTCGTATATTTGGGATGTGTATTCAGCAGTGATGGGAGATATGATAAGGATATTGAACGACGAGTGAATGCAGGAAATAAAGTAAATGGGGCTCTACACTCTATTGTGAAAAGTCAGAATGTGTCAAAAAAGGCTCGTATGGCAATTCACAATGCTGTATTAGACCCTACTTTAACGTATGGTAGTGAAAGTTGGGTATGGCAGAAGAAGCACGAGAGTACAATAAATGCAGTAGAAATGCGGTTGCTAAGGCGTATGTTAGGGCTGAATCTGAGTGACAGGGTGAGAAACTGTGTGATAAAAGAAGAGTGTGGTTTGCAAGATGATGCGGTGACCAGGATTTAGAAAGAAATGCTTCGGTGGTTTGGTCATGTAGAAAGAATGAATGAGGAAACTGACAAAGCAAATATATGTTGCAGAAGTGAATGGAATATTTAGATCTTTTAAACAGGTTGCCTGTTTTTTCTTAGAGGCTTTACCACAGATATTTTCCATTGAAGGTTGAAGGTAGAGGTGGTAATAGATTTATTCACAATAGCTGTGATAACTTTCAATGTATGTGGCAGTGTCATAAATAACATATCAAGTATTATCCATTAGCATAACAAGACATCTGTTAACGAAACAAAGAAACCAGTAGACAGAGAAACCTATAGACAAATTGACGCCTTCTTTCGCATTCGCACACGAAAAAGATTTATGCATCGTCTTGCATAGAAATGAGATAAAGCGGTGTGATTGTTTGTCTCCGTGCCGGTTTTTTTGTTTAACAAACTACACTTTGCTAAACAACTTTGACAGTTCGTAGCGATCTAAGGAGTTTACAAGTTGGTTTAAGTGACAAAAAAGTGTTTTGTGAGTTTAATATTGGTGAATCTTCTTCAGTTCAGTTCTTAGAACAATCAAACAGTTTATCTAAATATTGTTACGCGCTCCAATGCCTCAAATCGGCGCACTAGCGCCATCTAGTCTCGAACCGAAGAACTAAACTTCTTGAAGTTTAAAACTCGATCTCTCGGTACCTTGCGCGTTTACTTGAACATTCTGGATATTTTGCTAATTTATATAAGTAGGCGCTGCAAGATGCGATCGAAGTAGTGTTGATTTGGCGACAAAAGCGAAGCTTCGGAGCGGAATAAAGCGAATAAGTGTGTTTAATTATTAGTGTTTTTAACTTTAATTTGTGTAAAGTAAATTAAAGTGTTAATTTAGGTAATTTTATCGGCAATTTTTATTGTCACGAACCTCAAGCTCGTAACAATTGGTGTCAGAAGTGGGATAAAATAATGCCGATTTTACCTAAGG